ATGAGTTACCAACACGTGCCACTGTCGAGACCATAGTGATCCAAGAGATGAGTTATTAACACGTGACACTGCCCAGACCAAAGTGATCCTAGAGGTGAGTTGCCAACATGTGCCACTGTCCAAACCATCGTGATCCTAGAGGTAAGTTGCCAACACGTGTCACTGCCCAGTCCATCGTGATCCTAGAGGTGAGTTGCCAACATGTGCCACTGTCCAGACCATCGTGATCCTAGAGGTGAGTTGACAACACGTGACACTGTCCAGACCATCGTGATCCTAGAGGTAAGTTGCCAACACGTGTCACTGCCCAGACCATAGAGATCCTAGGGGTGAGTTGCAAACACGTGGCACTGTCCAGACCAAAGTGATCCTAGAGGTGAGTTGCGAACACGAGGCACTGTCCAGACCAAAGTGATCCTAGAGGTGAGTTGCCCACATGTGATACTGTCCAGACCAAAGTGATCCTAGAGGTGAGTCACCAACACGTGTCAGTGTCCAGACCATAGGAATCCAAGAGGCGAGTAGACAACGTGCATCATTGTCCAGACCATCGTGATCCTAGAGGTGAGGTACTAACGTGTGTCACTGTCCAGACCACAGTGATCCTAGAGGTGAGTTGACAACATGTGTCACTGTCCAGACCATAGCAATCCAAGAGATTAGTTGCCAACATTTGTCAATGGACAGGGACTCTCCTGGAGTCGGCGGCCAAATATGATATCAATGAATAAATGAATCACTATATCAGTGTAATCAATCAGCCAACCAACCAACCAGTCAATCAACAAACGAATCAATCAATTAATGACATTTTGTTTATGATTATATAATTACGTCTCTTCTTTTAATGCTCACGTACATTCAAAACAATAAAACTAATTTCACAGCGCACCCAACATATTCACCGATAAGCTCTCTATAAATAGTAACAAAGAGCGCCCCTACCCCAAATGTTCTTCCCGGTGAGTTTTCGCTTGGCCTGTCACGTGACTCAAGGGGTGCGAGACAGAAACGTGACGACTTCAGCTCTGTCAGCAATATATTTGCTCCACAAAGTTCTAGACCGTGTGATGCCAAGTCAATCAAGAATGATATACAAACGGGGCGTGTCACATACACGAGGTCAGGGGCACTGTACAGAACTGTGAATATGTAACTCTCTGGCTCCATTCGTAGGTATGTACACTCTTCATATATGTGTTTCATGTAAGTCTTGTATATCACAAGACCGCTTCCGTGGCCCAGTGGAAGTAGAGTGTGCGCCCGGAGAGCGGCAGGCTGGGGGATCGATCCTCAGCCGCGTCACACCAAAATACGCCATAGGGTGGTACTTTTTGTTACCCTACCTGGCGTTCGGCATTAAGGGGCTAAAAACAAGGACTAGTCGTCTCTGAGTCAATATACTATTTCTAAATGGGGTATACATGTTTGACAGAAATGTATTACAATTTTTTTACAGACGGGTTATGTTAGCTGTAAACAGAGCAGAACATTTGTCGAGTCATCTCCCCAAACCAGCCATGCACAATACATGACCTAGATAACCACAGGTCAAGTCCGTCAATGTATAACGCGTGTAGTAAAAATACATTGCCACAAAGAATAGCATCTGGCGGTCACATTAGAAATACCTCACACAAAACACACACTGAAGTCGATTGCCATTGACGTAAACTCAAAGCATGTGTAGGGTTGCATGACTGTGTTTATGGTTGCGTCCTTCGGGTGCGACATAACGTATGATCGTAGGTTCGAATCCAGGTTCACACCACTTATATCTAAAGGCACCAAATTACTCGGTCATGCGGAAACATTAATATATCCCGCCCTTTTGTCTAACACAAAGCATATATTCATTGCAGGATCGGGTGGTCAGACTCGGTGACTTGGTTGATGCATATCATTGGATCTCAATTACGTAAATCGATGCTCATGATGTCAATCACTGGACTGTCTAGTCCAGACTCGTTTATGTACAGACCGCTGTCAAATGGCTGGAATATTGCTGAGTGCGGCGTTAAACAACAAACAAACAAAGCTTATACATTGAACAAAGGCTGTTCTTTTCTGATTTCAGAACATGGAAGTCAACGGCGATGCTATGATTTACATTGTGGCCTTTTTTGCAATATTCTCCATATTTGCCTGTATTGTGTGTTTCATGCTGCGACGCTATAAGAGACGGCATCTCAGCGCACGCAGGAGACGCGCCAATCAGACTATTGCAAGCCATGTTTATCAACAAACTGTTATGCGTGACTCACTTCCGGGCGAAACCGGATATCCGGTAGATTCAGATCCAATGTCACAGAATGTGTTTTTTATATCGTCTCCGGGTCTGGTTGTACTCCCTCCTTACTCTGAGACATACAAACCAGAACCACCCCCACCATACGCACCATGAACCGAACGTCCTGCATGACCTTCACCTTTAAGAAATAACCCCGCCTCGTCATTCCAGAGGCGTATGTTGGCTACGAGAAACAACGATTTAAAAACGTCTCAGAAAGCAGCCGGACGGTTTTTTTACTGTTAAGAGTGTACGTTTAGTACACCGGGTGTCCAATCAGGTGATCAGGCGGCAGACAATGAAACGGTGCTAATCTCGTTATTGGAAATTTGTCAGCACCAATGGTCTTGGAAGGAGAATTCACGAATTCAGGAACGACTGGACAATCGTCAACCTCAGCAAGTTGGAAGCGTTTCACTCAATCAAAACAATACAAGTCCCTACCTCCTGACAATACATAATTAGAACATTGTGATACTGTCTTCCACAGGGCACAGAATCAAAGGTCAAATGGGTGAGATGAACTGATGAAGTCTGACTTCGCTTTCAGTGTGTGGATGAATTCCTTGATCCCTGTTGTTTTTACTTAACACTTAACGTTGGTGCAAACTGAGCGTTCATAATGAAACTGTATACGCAGTACTAGAGTGTCGGGGCGGTCGGGTAGCCTAGTGGTTAAAGCGTTCGCTCGTCACGCCGAAGACCCGGGTTCGATTCCCGACATGGGTACAATGTGTGAAGCCCATTTCTGGTGTCCCCCGCCGTGATATTGCTGGAATATTGCTAAAAGCGGCGTAAAACCATACTCACTCACTCACTAGAGTGTCACAGTGTCTTTCCTTGGTTCTCAACACCGGAACTCCCGTAAACAAACTGCCACCCCTTGTCGGTGACTGTTCACATGTTGTCTCTACTTTAGTCCGATCTTGACATCAGGTCTGTGTGAGTGTCTGGCCATGTCATGCCATCATGTGTTCAATGTGTCTGCAGCTGGTCTGCAAATTGACTGAAAATGTTATCATACGTGGAATTGTTTAAGACATGGTATAGTGACGGATTGATGTATATTAATTTTATAAACTAATCATCATTAAATGTTGTTAATTATGTTCTGAAATTATATATTTATGGCGAAATGTGCATGTGTTGTAGTTCTTGATTACCATGGACAGATTGTCCCTTGTGAATGGCACTGTACTAATGTGGCAAGCATCCATGTCTCATACAGCTTGAAGAGACCCCAATATATCTGATTCCGACAGGATAGGGTTAATTTCCAAATTATAAGGAGGGCGCGGGTGGCCCTTACGTCCATGCAGCCGCAGTTCGCTGTGTGTATTTACATCACTTAGGCGTGCCAGATACTATGGTCGTGAGTTCGAATCCAGGTTCTCCCTGATTATGTTTCTTGGTTCATCAGCACCATGTTCATGCTCGTGGGTTTCACCAATGTGGTAAAGTCTACGACCTTTAAGTTCAATCCTTTCTCCCTCATCAAGCTGACACGCCGTGGTATAACGGCAATTCTGTTCAACTCAAATTACAGTACAACAGAAATGCCTGGTCAGCGAGCCATATATGAGTGAGTGAGTATGATTTAACGCCGCTTGTAGCAATATTCCAGCAATATCACGGCGGGGCACACCAGAAATGGGCTTCACACATTGTGCCCATGGCGGGAATCGAACCCGGGTCATCGGCGTGACGAGAACGCTTTAACCTCAAGGCTACCCGACCGACCCCGAAAATATATGATAGTATATCTGAACGTAGATAATACTAAGATCTGCGTACTAACATAGTGTAATAAGATCTTTCTTGAACAGGATGTACTGGGATCGGGAGTTATGTGGGGTGACTGCAGCACAATCAAGACCCTTACAGAAACGTCTCTGTTCAGAACTATGTAATAAGAAACCCGGATATACGGAGTCCTATGTTGCAGAATACACGTGTACTTGCAATCGTTGACACAGCTTAATTGTATATGGGTGTATAATCAAGGACGCACAATATCCCCTCATTATAATGAATACTTTACCTCCACAAAGAGGCGCAACTCACGAATCAACATTGAATGTAGGACGTCTTTTCAAGCAGTGCGATCAGTTGACCGTGGCGACACACACCGGGAGTCTATTTATATATGGTGTACACATGTATATATAAAACTCCCCACACGTACACACTGACATTGACTTCGGTTTAGGTGTCCTCAGATATTTCTGTGATATGTGAGTGATCTGTGATCATGGGCCACTCGGTCAACGGGACCTCGGCCAGCACTTGCTGGAAGCCAAGGCATGTTGGAAATATTTGCCTACACGTGACTGTGACATAACCCAGCCTGGCAGTATTCGTGAACTGTTCATCTCGTTTGCTCTTTCCACAAATCAACGTTTATACCTGATAGATATATGTTATTTTATACCTAATAAATGTTAAGCCGAATTGGCGTTACACGGGTCTGCTGCTGACAAACCTAGAAACAATATGTGAGAATCGAGGATCGCGAACCTAGTATCATACGTTTCCTGAGACCACGAGCTAAATGGCATATCTAACTTCTGCCTCCGGTGAAAGAATGGTTTAAGTCCCGGCGTATGGCAAGCCGTTTTCACATTTATTACGGAATTACAGTTATCTTGAATTGTTTTAAAGATATCTTGAATTGAATTGAAGATATCTTGAATTGAATTGAAGATATCTTGAATCGAATTGAAGATATCTTAAATGCAGATAATTGTAGATATCTGCAATAAAATTTAAGATATCACGAAATGAATTAAGGATATGGTGAAGCGTATTACTGATATCTTGAAAAGAATTGAAGATATCTTAAATTCGATTACTGATATCAAAATATGATTTAAAGATATCAAAATGTCATGTTTTGTTATGACGTCATTAATTCAATTCCTGATATCTTGAAACTAAATACAGATATCAATAATTAATTATTGATATCTTCAATTGTTGCCATTATTAAAGATGTTACATTAATAATGTTACTTAAATTAGATAACTGATATCAATAATTGATATAAAGATATCATCAAAATTATTAATGATATCTTTAAATGGATTTTTGATATCAGTAACGGTCAGAATTAATGATATCTTGAATTGAATCTAAAGATATCTCTAATTGAATTAAAGATATCTCTAATTGAATTACAGATATATGTAATGCATTTGTGGATATGTATAACTTATTTCAAGATATCTTGAATTGAATTTAAGATTTCTTGAATTTATTTCTAATATATTTATGTACTGTAGGATGGTAAATGTTATATGATATCTTAAATACATTTAGAGATATCACAAACTAATTTGTTGATATCACCGTAACATTTTAAGATATCAGTAATTATATTATGGATATCAGAAATGAATTTAAGATATCTTTAATTAATTTTTGATATCTTAAAAACATTATTGATATCTTTAAATAAAATACCGATATCTTTAAAACAATTGAAGATATCTGTTATTCCTTAATAAATGTGAAAACGGCTTGCCATACCGGCGTATCTTGGACGGGGAATTTACATCAATCATTCACCATTATCTCTGTCATTTCCGATTATTTGAAAAGAGAAATTGAAGATAAACGTTCTTAATGCCAAACCTCCAAAGAAATAGCACATAACATCAACCAGTTCTGAAAACGAAACGTACTCCCTTTGCGTGGTCATGATTGCAAACAATGGAACCATGTGACGCTAGAACAGACTAATCTGAACAGTCTCTGAAATCTTATATTACCCAATATCCTTCTTGACTAAAAATAAAAATCCCTATGCTGATTTCATAGACTAAACATTTTCAGAGCCTTCCTATCAGGGCAATCTTGAAATGTAAATTCGACAAGTGTCCAAATAAATTTTCTAATGCACATTCTCTGACCACCGTATCAACCAATCTGTCCACAACACCCGCCACATGGATTCCATGATATGATAAGTAAGGGACTTAAATACCGGTCGCTATTTCGACCGGTCCTCTCTCCAAAAAGACATGACTGTGGAATAGAGCTAGCTAGAGCTGGCTAGACTTGCTTTTGTATGCGTTTCTAGATTATTATTTTTTCATAAAATAAATATATTCCAGTCATGGTGCAGGACTACTTGTTAAATTGCACGGGTAAATATCGTCTAGAAATTACACATTACATTCATTATTTCGACCCTTATATTCTAGAATTAGACACTAGAGCTGAAGGCGGTGGTTCGATCCCCTGGCAGAGTCCTACCAAAAGAAGTACAAAGATGCTACTTGTTACCCTGCGTGATGCTCGTAGACTTAGAGTCAGTGTACTGTGTCTGCGTGGGATAGCCATGCTACACTGCAGCGAGGTATCTCAGTGGGTTAGCACTATGAAACCGGCATAAGTCCGGACAAGTAACAGTCTCCACACACCCACGTCCATGCACGTCGCTACGAGGAAATTTACACAACTTTAAACCCCATTTCACCTATTAACCTGGAATTAGAAACCACATGTTACGTCGTCTATTGTTATTGGAGGTTCCAGATTGTTGATAGATTGCGGATTGCCGGGTTCAACTTTGCTTGATGAAGCCTAAGTCACCTCGGCTGAGCGACACAATCGGGCTCTCGGCTGATGTAACCTCTAAGGTGGGTTGCTACAATTTTTGTAATCACCTGTTTCTTCTCTGTGTTATTTTCACAAAACCAACATGCTTGTCTACGTTTGCTTTTCTGAAGACGTCCTTCCAGATTACTATGAACCTTTCCACTTGATCACGTTACTCCTGGTCTTGGTTTGGAAATTGTTCATAGTGGGAAACGTAAATCAGGTCATGCTTTTTGAAAAGTTAGGATCATTTCCGAAATAGGGGATAAATAAAAAGGTTTTTTTTTTTTTTTTTTTTAATAAATGATCATAATCTGACAAGGTGCAATCGTATCTGAACGGCCTCTACATTGTTGTAACTATAGGCCGAGAACTAGTGTGGTCGCGAGAAACTTGTGTTTTGCGTTCGAAATTGACACAGTTCGGGATGAGTTTCAACACTGGGCAAGGGACGCATAATCAAGACTTGGATTCACTTATTAATATTTTTTTTCAGATTGATCACATTCAAGTGAGTGAGTGAGTGAGTGAGTGAGTGAGTGGGTCGAGGTTAATGTCTCCCTGGAAATAGCTTAGCAATAATCCAGCAATATCACATCAATGAACACCCAACAAGGAACCCATCTTCTCCGCGTGGTGAGCCAACACTGCTGGGCACGTCAACCAACTGGACACCTTATATATGTCAGTAAAAAATACCAAAAAAAGATAACATAAAAGAATAAATGATTGGTACACGAATCAATATTATTTTCGCAGCATCATGTATACCATCAAAACAAGTCTGTTCACACAAACCTTTGTGACATGGAAAACAAAACAAAAGCCACTGAAAAATCTAATGTGTTGAAAACAATTTGATAACTTCATTTACAAACTTTGAAAAATTAAGTCAGTTGATCTCATATACAACTGAGTGCCAAGGCTATGACAGTTACGTGATTTCCGTGATTCTATGTCTGCTTGTCGTTTCCAGCTGCTGCATCCTCTATGGCACCGATAGTCATGTTTAATTTCAGAGAAATATGTTTGAAAACGACACTGCTAACCTTATTCTCACATCTCTAGCTTCACGTGAATTGTCATACTACTAAAGTTTAATGCTGATTGAAAAACAATTGATAGCATTATAAATGACTATGTTATTAAACTAAATTATCATGCATAAACGTAATTCAAGCATACAAAATAGCACACAACCCGTTTACCTGTCTGTCATTTTCTTGACAATAATTCCTGAACTACATTGGATAATCAAGCAGTAACAAGTCAAGTGAAAACAACGCATACACACGATTGTTTCACTAGAAACCCTGAGTCTGAAAGAGACACATGTTTCTTCCAGACCAAACTTACGATTAGACAACGCGATACTTCAAAAACAAAGTGTAGCAGTAAAATCATCAACTAGTTTAAGAGAGGAAACTGAGATAATACTATCACGAGGAATAACGCAGTCTTACAGCCATAAACATGACAGAAATCCATATTGGAACGTTTCGTGCACGTGACTATCACGAGGAATAACGCAGTCTTACAGCCATAAACATGACAGGAATCCATATTGGAACGTTTCGTGCACGTGACTATCACGAGGAATAACGCAGTCTTGCAGCCATAAACATGACAGGAATCCATATTGGAACGTTTCGTGCACGTGACTATCACGAGGAATAACGCAGTCTTCCAGGCATAAACATGACAGAAATCCATATTGGAACGTTTCGTGCACGTGACTATCACGAGGCATAACGCAGTCTTACAGCCATAAACACGACAGAAATCCATATTGGAACGTTTCGTGCACGTGACTATCACGAGGAATAACGCAGTCTTACAGGCATAAACATGACAGAAATCCATATTGGAACGTTTCGTGCACGTGACTATCACGAGGAATAACGCAGTCTTACAGCCATAAACATGACAGAAATCCATATTGGAACGTTTCGTGCACGTGACTATCACGAGGAATAACGCAGTCTTACAGGCATAAACATGACAGAAATCCATATTGGAACGTTTCGTGCACGTGACTATCACGAGGAATAACGCAGTCTTACAGCCATAAACATGACAGAAATCCATATTGGAACGTTTCGTGCACGTGACTATCACGAGGAATAACGCAGTCTTACAGGCATAAACATGACAGAAATCCATATTGGAACGTTTCGTGCACGTGACTATCACGAGGAATAACGCAATCTTGCAGCCATAAACATGACAGAAATCCATATTGGAACGTTTCGTGCACGTGACTATCACGAGGAATAACGCAGTCTTGCAGCCATAAACATGACAGGAATCCATATTGGAACGTTTCGTGCACGTGACTATCACGAGGAATAACGCAGTCTTGCAGCCATAAACATGACAGGAATCCATATTGGAACGTTTCGTGCACGTGACTATCACGAGGAATAACGCAGTCTTGCAGCCATAAACATGACAGGAATCCATATTGGAACGTTTCGTGCACGTGACTATCACGAGGCATAACGCAGTCTTGCAGCCATAAACCTATATACAAATTCTAGTTGTTTTCATTTGATTTCATCTTCAAATCAAAGTGTACAAATAATTTATGTTGAGCACAGAATAGCCCACCGTCCGAAAAAATGAGAAGTCTAATATGAACTATACACCTTTTGGAGATCTTGCATTACAAGGTTTATTGTAAATTGTGCAATATCCTTACTCTATTATTCCCCAATTATATGACGTTAGCAAAATAGGCCAACCGTATCTGAGTGACTGGCATTTTGAGATCACATAACTCAAGAACGGCTCTCCAAAGAAGTTTCATTAATTGATGTCAGGGTGGAGGGTGTGAAATGCTGTATTAGTTCTTTTAAGAATAGTAATACTCAAAGCATGCAAAAAGGATTACTGACAAGGCATGAATGACATAATTGTCATGCATCTGCTATATTCCGAATCCAATCCCTGCTCAGGGCCAAATAAATTAATTAATGCTTTTCATCTCTTACCAAAACACCCTATAAACACCATACTGTCTCCAAGTATCCAAGGAGCTATCTAGACCAGCACAGAGGTTGACATTCAGCCCATGTCAGCAAATGACTGTAAAAATTCCCAATTTGAATTAAAATGTCCAGTACCTCAGAATTTTCAAAAATAAGAAGAGTAACAAGATTGTTTGTTTGTTGTTAATCACCAGATCCCTTTAGTCGGCTTTTACGACAAGCATGGGTTGCTGAAGACCTATTCTACCCCAGATCTTCTGGGTCTGTAGTAACAAAATTGAAAAATATCCCAATTTTTTCCCAATTTGCCTGTTAAAGGGCAATTATTTGGAACCCTAGATACATCCCTATGAAAACCACCATACACATAGTTGGGTTCAGTCATTAGGGCCAGGGATACCAGGGGAGAACAGCATGAAAACGGATTGACACTATCAAAGTATGATGACACACAGTCAGTGAGATCACAGGTTGTAATCACGCTGTCTTCCCAATACTTCTCTTCCAAGCATGAAATGCCCATGAGAGTCCTGATTTTCATGAACCATGACAGTCACATCACACATACAAATGCTGCATGTGCAGGATACAAACAAAAACATAAGTGTAAACAAACTACAACTAAATAATTGCATGTATATATGTGATGCAAACAATTAATAAGAACATTAGACAGATGTTGTTAAACATAAATAAAGATTACAAATGATCAAATGCCACAGTATATCACAAAGTGTGATGAACTAAAGTTAGATACATAATTACCATCTTCCCGTGGCAAAGGTTACTGGTATTAAGTAAACACTTTTGCCACTGGAAGATGCATAATTACATTTCTCAACATTTCTAAAAGAAATAATTTACAAATATAAAACAGTCCAACAAATTTTTTTTTAAGTTATCAAAATTCATTTATACCCAGTACAAGAACATATAAACATTTTGCATTCTATGGCGGTGGAGATTTCCTTGTGTGTGGACATGCAGTGTTCTAAATTCAGCGTAAAACTAAAGCGGTATTGTCAGAACCTAAAGTTAACCATTATTTAAGGTGTCCCACATTCACATGCTATAGCAGCAAACATTAAGGACCCAGAAACCACCTAAAATATGAGCACTGACCTGTATCACATAGCAGAAGGAAAAGTGACAGGAAATTTAGTTTAGTTTTGTATCTATATAAGGCAGTCACAGGTATCAATCTGTACTGTTTGTGTGATTGACGGATAAAACAACATGATATAAAAAATAACAATACTTACTGATTTCTATAACTTAAATAAGATTGGATATAGATAAACAGCATACATTAAACATCTCTTTTCAAATGTTTCAATTTCAATTAAATGTCATTGCTGAAAGTGCATTTTTCAAACTTGGAACTAAAACACAAGTTTGACAAAACTAAAAAAAATATAATTTGAATCCCACTTGACAATGTTTCCCCCCAGTCTCTTTTTAGTGTACAGTGTCCAATTCAAAAGAAACTCAATCTCATCAAAATCAGATCTTAGTTCTCGCTACTGCTAAACAAAGATCTGAGGACATCCCATTTTAATGAGATTGATAGAAACTAAAGGTATGAATCTATTTTCGTAATGATGAACATACATAATACCAGACAGTTTTTCAAGTCCCATAAGAATATTTCATCCAGGGAAGACTCAAACGTGAAACAAACATATCACATGTAATAGCTATTAGTAAGGGCAGATAACTCTGCTCTCTCTTCATTGTGTATCTGTGTTCTGAATGGTATCTTTGAGCACAGAACACATCAGTGGACACGTAGACAGCAAAAGCGGGAGGACCGAGTGCTGGGGATCTATATGGGTAGGCCTGCAGGCTGGCTTCCTCTTGCAGCCATTCTGGAATGTGTTTGCGACCACCCTTGCTGTGAACAGAAATAAAGGTTATTTCCCTTGAGGTATGGCTATTTCCCCATTTGCAGTCTAACATCAAATAAATATGACAGACGAAATCACTATCTCATCTTATTTATTTCTCGTAACATAGTTATCTCCCTTTATGCAATGTGCTGAGTGCTACACCATGAGTATAGCATTGCGCGAATATGTGAGAGAGTGAATGTTGGTTAACATGATCATGTGTGCAGTCTGCAATATCCTAGTTTCAACATGGCAGTATTAGGTTGGTTTGGTTGGTTTGTTGTTTAACACGGCACTCAGCAATATTCCAGCTATATGACGGCAGTCTGTAAATAATCGAGTCTGGACCAGACAATCCAGTGATTGATATCATGAGCATCGATCCACGCAATTAGGATCAATGACATCAATGCGTGCCTGACCAACCAATCCCGTTAGTCGCCTTTTACGTCAAGCAAGGGCTGCTGAAGATCTATTCTACCACGGATCTTCACGGGTCACATGGCAGTATGTTATTAATCCAGTCACCCATGAAGATCCGGGGTAGAGTAGGTCTTCAGCAGCCCATGCTTGTTATAAAAGGTGACTATGCTTGTCGTAAGCGGCAACTAACAGGATCGGGTGGTCAGGCTCGCTGACTTAGTTGATGCCTGGCATCGTATCCCAATTGCGTGGATCGATTGTTCATGATATCAATCACTGGACTGTCTGGTCCAGACTTGATTATTGACAAACTGCTGTCATGAAAGCTGCAATAGTGCTGCATGTGGCATTAAACAACAAACCAACAAACCAACAAACAAATATTCATCCAGTTGCCTCCACATAAGCCACATCACCTGGGGACCATGACAAGCAATCAGCCATATCACAGTGTCTGACTACCACTGCATTGTGTCAACTCTCACAACAAGCTTGTGTTAGTGGGCACTAATTCTACGCTGGATTCACCACAATCTACCACTAAACAAAGATCTGAGGACATCCCATTACGGGTCACGACAAAACGACCTTTTGCGAATTTTGACCGACCAATGAAATGACCGACAAGAAATTGACATTGGCCAATCAGATGGCAGCTTTCTCGAGCTGTACGACACTAGTTTCAAACTGGCGACTACGCTTTGAAACATATTTTGACGTATTCTGGATTAAAAATGTTAAAACTAATAAGAAGACCATTCTGGTATGGCTTATAGATGGCCTAGACTGTATGGATATAATCATAAAACCCGTACCTGTCGTTCGGAATACCCCGTGTTAGATAAATTGTGGTTGCATGATTAGAAACTCATTCCGGCTGTCACTTTCATGATCTGGTAAGCGATGCTCTGATTGGTTGGAAGAAAGGTCGTTCTGACGTGACCCTTAATGGGAAGTCCTTGGATCTTTGTTTAGCGATAGCGAAAACTAAGATCTGATTTTAATGAGATTGGATTCACCACAAGTGAGAATAACATTTCAGCAACAGCCCAGATGAGATAATAATACCCTGTTGCACATGCACAAAAAAACACTGGATCCATGATCCTAAATTTACTTTCAATCTCCTATTCAATATAACAGGAAATGGCTGCCTGGTTGGATCGAACACCTCTCATGATTCATGACACCGTTTCTACATGGCTTAGTATTAAGCAGGTACTGTGTATATACAGAAAAGAATAAAAAAGTCCCTTGCTTTACCAGAGTTACTTCCCCTTGAATGAAGTATGTTACCTTTAAAACCCTCAAAGGAAACTAAATGGAGAAAGATTCCAAAGCATTTTAATAGTCATCCTGCTGGCAAAGTTAGAAGCTGGGTTAAGCGATAATTCTTTACACCTTAACTCTGTATTTTCTGTGAACCATATCAAACTCATTTTAAATCACTTGTCACCAGACAGATGGTCATTTATAAATGAAGTGGTCAGATAACACTCTACATCTTCATCCTGAACAAAGCTTTGTGCAGCAATAGCGATCACTAATGAGATTCTAATGAGATTGACGCTTCCAAGATTATTGCACTCATATAGCGAAATGCATGTATGTGTGTATTTGTCTGTGTGTGTGGCTGCTTCTACTGGTAGCCTACTGAGATACCATGCCAAAGTTTATCATGAATACACCACACAGACACAGTGTACTGACACTGAGATGACCAGTCCTTGTTTTAGCCCCTTTATGCTACAGACAGGGTAACAACAAGTACCATCTTTTGATGTCTTTTTGTATGATGCATCAGGGGATAAAACCTGGACCTTCCACTCTCTGGGCAGACTCTCTACCATTTGACCACGCAGGAGGTCGGATGTCATCAAGGAATGTTGACTGTTTTATCAGATTCCTCTTTACTATCGTAGCTTCCCTTTACCAGCTTTCATGTGAGTTCTAGTTTAGGGTTAGTGAGGGGAACTAAAACAAACATGCACAAACGATCTTACTGTGGATCGTCTATGGATCATAAAGCTGTGACATTGTTGATGCGTCGCTGATTGGTGTCAGTACTGATTCACATCAGGTTCTAATTGAGACATAAAAAAACGAAAGACCTGGGCTAGAATTGGTCTTCAGCAACTCATGTTGTCGGAAGAGGAGATTAATGGGAGCAGGTGGTCAGGCTCGCTGACTTGGTTGATGAATGGCATCATATCCCATTTGCGTATATCGTTGCTCATAACATCAATCATCAGATTGTCTGGCCCAGACTCGACTATACACAGACCGCTGTCACAAAGCTGGAGTATTGCTGAGTGCAGCACACCAATCGTGAAAATATCTCCTCTCCTCGTTACTCGAGAGAAAAATGAAATATCCTCTATATATTGTGAAGCAATCAGGACTTTCGAAATAGCTTACTTGAAATAGCCATTAGTACACACACAATATTAGTGTTCATTAAAACTACGTTCTGTTGCATATATACATAAACTATTATTCTTGTAATGTTACCACAATCACAATAATAATTATCACTATAACATAAGAACATAAGTGCAATGTGATAAGAATGATAATGTGTTTGCGTTGTGCATGTATTAGTTAAATATCCTCCGTAACAAAAGCTACTAGTATGGCTAAAGCGTTTTATATCCAATGGCCTAGTAAGGAAAATGCTAAACTGTGTTATAAGCACTGTCATAAAAAATGCTACTTACTAAAAAACTTTATATCAATGTTGATACTGTGTTGGTAGTAACTGTAAAATAAACAGCCTTTTTATGACATTCTAGACTGATAATTATCTACAGTCATACAATATAACATTTGCAAATTAGGCAAGTTAGGTAAAGCAAACTTTGAGAGGGACCAGTGCGAATAGTGCATATAAAACATATAGAAAATGTGACACTTTAAAATATTAATCTGTTTAGGTATATTGTTGTTTATCTCACTCAGCATGCTCAGTTATGTGTTAATAATACAAACTAATTTTAAAATATCAGAAGTTAATCACTCAAGTCATTTTGCTGTGACATTCACACACAGGGAAAATGTAGCAATCGTGAAAAAAACATTGCAAAATATTAGCAAAAGCAGGAAGTCAATAAAACACATCGTTGAAAACATTTTCTGTTGAAAAGGTTAACAGTGGTTAATACAACTCTCAGAACAGTGTAATATTACCCATCATTGAATTAAAGTGCTGTGACAAGATAAGCCTTTATGTTTATAAAATGTTTATGTTTTTTAAACATTGTATTTTTGTACTTTTAACCAAAAACACAGGGCTCATTCACGAAAGTAATCACCATTTGCTGCTGTCTATTTTTCCATGTACAGTGCTGACTCTATGCTGGACATACGCACACCTAACACTAACACTAAAACTTACACTAACACTAACAGTACACTAAGTGTGGGTGAGCTGGGGATGAATTGGGACTGGACCAGCGAATTGGATTGAGAGATGGGAGCTGAGCAATGGTTGAGTGGTTGAGTGAACACACTGACAGGGTGTGGAGTCACCGGGTGGGTAGATGGGTAGTGTTTGGATGAGTGGTCTTTGGCTGGGTGGTGTTTGGATGGGTGGTCTTTGGCTGGGTGGTGTTTGGATGGGTGGTGTTTGGATGGGAGGTGTTTGGATAGGTGGTGTTTGGATGTGTATGTGCTGCCTTAGAAATGTGTCTGTCTTGAGATAAGTCCAGAGGACAAGTGTAAACCTCATGTCGCTCGTCCTCAGAATGTATACGTACCTAGTCCTGCATGAACACGACAAACATGCTTACTTTGTTTTCTCTCCGTTTTATTCACTTCCAATATGTAGAACCATTTAAACATTGAGAACTGGTTCAGAATTAAAGATATCATCATCAATTTTTTACACAATGTACAGCAATGGAAATTAACCAAGAATATCTGCTAGCTCAAATAGTGATAACATAGAGCAATATCCACCAACATTTTTGAAATTCAACTAGCCCTTAGGATACCTTTAGCATTAACAAACCTGCCCCCCATCCCCCATCCCTGAATAACAGTAGTCTTGAGCCAGTAGACTAGCATGAATTTTGAAGACTGTATGCGTGTGACAGTGGGTTTTATGTAGAGGTGTCGTGCCAGTTAAAGGATAGTGGCAGGGCATGAAATATAAACACAATGCATTTACTGTATGCACACAATCAACATGGGTTATGTTGGGATATATATATACATGAAAGCATTTCAGTCAAAAGCAAAATCTATTTAAAATACATTCAACAGTAACCACAAAAAGGTCATCATATATACAACACAAGCAGGGTGTGAGTTTGTCTCTTTTCAGGTGAGGTGAGGTGAGGTGAAATTGGGTTTAACGTCGCGGCCAAGATTATTGCACTTATATAGCAATGTGCATGCACGTGTGTGTGTGTGTGTGGCTGCTTGTACTAGTCCGGACTGATGCCGATTTATAGTGCTAGCTCACTAAGATACCATGCCGCAGTTTAACATGAATACCCCATTCAGACACAGTATACTGACTCCGAGCCGACCAGTCCTTGATTTAGCCCCTTTATGCCGAGCGCCAGACAGGGTAACAACAAGTACCATCTTTTAACGTCTTTTGGTATGACGCGGCCAGGGATCGAACCCCGGACCTTCCGCTCTCCGGGCGGACGCTCTACCACTAGACCACGGAGGCGGTCGTCTCATTTCAGCCTGCAGGAGGCATCTTAACAAACCAGGCTGCAACAACAACATGGCCGCTGCACAGAAACAACAGGAAACATACTCCAGATGATGTTCTAAGTTACAGCAGAGTCCTTGGTTAAAATCACTATCTTCAAACAAAGGAACAATGCAGTTTTAGATGGGAGAAAACGGTATTACTGAAATTGTGGATTTTCACTTCAACCATATTAACAATGGTTTCCTACTCTGTGAGATAGGACATGTGTGTTTCTACATTTGTCTATAAAAAGAATATTTGATGTGTTGGAAATCACAATCTTACTTCCTGTTCCAAAAGCAAACCTCATCAGACAACTACAGGCAGTACAGATCACATATCCAAGGCAAGTTTCAGTAAATCTGGAACTATAGCGTGTGATACAAATGTTATATTTGGTAAAGCAATTTCTTAGTAAAGTATAGTTTGGGTTAAGTGCCGTCCGGGATTCGAACCCACACTCTCAGAGTGAGGCACCTCATCGCAAACACACAAAGTCAGCGATCTAAACCCAGTCAGCCCCCAAGGCTTCCACAAAAATGAAAGTCCGACAACAGGTAGTCACATTCTTTGTGTACCCCTCTGACAAATGTAAATTGGCACGGCTGTGTGTTGTTTTATTTTATGGTCACTGAGTATTTGATGGTGTGTTGCTGTGCCCCGTACATGTTGTGTTGCTGTGCCCCGTAGATGGTGTGTTGCTGTGCCCCGTGCAAGGGGTCTTGATGAGCCCTGTGGAAGAAGCGTTGACGTACCCGCCTGTTGAAGCAGCAACATAGACACTCCAGCCACTTCTTGCCGAGCTGCATCTCGCCACAAAACACAAGGTCATAGTACTTGACAAATGCTGACGTGACAAACAACAGACCCAGCACTGTGCTAATTGTCATGAAGATGTGGACTTCATGGATGTGAGTATTTGGCTGAAACAGAATGAAAGTTGTCAAGAAGATGTGGACTTCATGGAAGGGGTATTTGGCTGAAACAATGAAAGTTGTCAAGATGATGTGGACTTCATGGAAGGTATTTGGCTGAAAAAGATGAAAACTTGCAATTCAGCGAAACACCACCAACCAAAGTCCAATATCTAAAAGGACCATGTAATTACAAGCATAGGCAAACTTAAAATGACTAAATCTTTCATTAATCGAAGGGAGATCACTCTGTATTATTTTAATTTGTTTTCTTCCTTTGGCAGTGTTTGGACTTGATGATTTACTATAATAGTACATTTGCCTGTCTCCACGTAGAAGCAGAGCTCCAGATAAGGTTTTGGTGTTGTGTGTATTTTACCAATGCATTTTAAAATCATTGGGTATCAGTAATTGTATCTGGGTATTCAAATTTCTGTTACCCACTAGTTTTTACACATGTGGGTATTTAAGTTAAATATTTAAAAACACTATTCATATAGTCCCTGCAAAATGGTTTCGTGTGGGTTCGAGAGCTTTATAGGACTCAAAAGTACCACGATACTTCCACAAGAAAGTGTGATGGCAAATGATCATGATGTAACTGTCATCGTGGAGTTTGGCAAGGTTGACGGAATGCCCGTTTATAATTTCAAAATGAGTTGCTGATTTGCTAATCGAATACGCAGGGTTACTTCACAATATTTTGATGATACGCACAAGTTTTATTTTTGTAGCGTATCTGTAATGTTTGTTGCGTATTTGATACGCTTGGATTTTATTTTACTGCGTATTTCTGCATTTCTGATGCGTCTTTTACCCAGATACGCAGCTTATCTAGAGCTCTGAGGAGTGTTGCTCTGGATGAAGTGGCTGAGTACTCACTGGGTAGTTGGACTTGACTGTCCAGCCCAGCCCGTAGGCTGTTATGAGGAAGATGGTCAATGCCACGTAGAGAGCTAGTGTCAGCATGGTCAGGTTGTAGAAGCGGTATACCTGGCAGAAGAGAAACATACAAACTACCGTATACGACGTAATAAGCGCCCAGGGCGCTCTCAAAAAAAGAAATAGGGGGCTCTTATTAGAATATTTAAATTTGTGGCTTATACTGACGGCCTGAAATGTTTATATACGACAGATATATTTTTCCTGAATTTAATTCCCCATAATTAAGGGTGTATATAACACACGTGTGCATATTATACACGAATAAATAAGTCTTGTGTACATTGATCAATCAGAAGGGGTGCTAATTGGGATTGTTCACTTGCCAATATATTAGCAAATATCGCTGTGAGCGCTTATTAGAGTGGGGCGCTTATTACGTCGAATATGGTATATAGAGTATTAAGCTGTTCACAGTAATACCTACAACTCAGATACTAATGCAAGTTCTATGGCATAATTTAATCTAGAATTGATATTTTCTTATATTTGGTTTACAGATTTGACTGATTGATTCCAAACACTACAATCAGAAAATATACTAAACAGACACATTTTTCCACTGCAAACTAGTTAAATCAGAAGTGTTATTGTGAGGAAGAAAAGCTGAAATACCACTGTAATATGTGTTTGTAACCTGTAGCGTGCTTATCTATTTCTGTGTAGTGCAGACACCATAACAGGGTTCAAACATTGTACCCATGTCGGTTATCGAACCCGTGTCTTTGGTGTGATGAGCGAACGCTTTAACCATTAGGCTACCTGACCGCCCCGATTCTTGAAGAAGGGTCACTTATCAGAAGACTGTACCCGAGATAGTTAATATCGACTGAAAACCCAAATATATCTAGAAAACCCAAATATATCTAGAAAACCCAAAGGGAATGATAACAGGTCAGTAAAACTCAGTGGTTCAAAAAGTATCTCGTGCCCTGAAAATAAGATATTTTATTAAAATTTTCTCAAGAGCTCCTTCTACAAAATGTATGATTCATCAGTGTCCTTATGCAACCGACGGACTGTCACATGAACTACTTTTATAATAAATTTTGACACTAAAACTTCATGCATTGATTCACCAATAAACTTTGTTCCAACACTCCCAATAATTCAGAGAGATATTTCCTGATGTTTGGGTGTACCTGTACACACATATTGCTTCAAATCATTTACCACCATATGATAATTGGGGTCGTTCATTTTGGCTTTGTGTCCATACATGGTTTCTAAAGTTAATTTATTTGGTGAAGTTAGGTTTTAAATATCACCTTTCTACAATGACACATTTTCACACTTCAGACGAGAAGGCTCGCATAATAAATAATACAATGTTACCCCCATATGACACTGAACCTGCAGAAGCACACTCGGCTAATTACATCAACTCACATATTAACCTTTTGAGGCTTTCATTTTCAAATTCATATTCAACTGGGTTAGGCATCAATTTATATGGTCACAAGTCCACATGACTGATCTGCTGTGTTGACATCACCTCATGGTAAAAGTGGCAGTCCTCAAGGAAATTTTACAGGTTTCCATGGGTGAACTTACGATAACCCGGTAGTTTCAAAACCTGTTAATCAATTACGTTGTTCAGGTTTATGAATAAAAGATAAATTTACTTTGACTTGTCTGTGATTTTTTCTTCATAACCCGATAACATTTCCTGTTTGCCCAAATCTGGGAAATATTTGTTTTGAAATTCTTCCCACTGTACACACAGTGACGATGAATATTCAAGTTCAAAGTAGTCCTTACTGTTGAAGCTCGTTTGCTGATGGACGCTCTTATTGCTGTGCTTCCTGTTAATATCATCTGAAACAACGGCGAACAAACATCAGTGAACTAAACACTATATCATGTATACATAGTACAGTATAGTATGGTGTAGTTACTTTCATCAACATGATTAACTTTGCAATTATCATACATGTCCATCTTCTAGAGGCAAGGGAGTTAACTGATTGTAAAAGTCCAGTTTCCACCCTTGCCGAATTAGGCTGGAATTTCTGCGCTCGATAGTAGTGCCACCAGTGGCTGTTATGAGTTATGTCCCTTCTATGCCTCTACTATTGACCAATCAGATTCCACCTCTCATATCAATGGCGGTGCCCAGTAGAGACGATTTGATCGATGATCAAGGTCTATATAGTAAAAAATACAGGTCTTACTTCGCAAAGTGCATCAAATCACATGAGCACCTTGATTAAAACATGAAAAGATTTGGAAAATATCTGTTGACACCAAGTTGGCACAATGACAGTACACATGCTTTGCAAATCCTGCTATTGGCTGAAATCTGCACAGCAGTTTACGAACCATTTGTCGATTTCATTACGTGATTTAGATTGGACTATGCATAGACTCGTTATTCCAGCCATAACATAAGGGTGAAAACTAAACTTTTATAGTCAGTTAACTCCCTTGCCTTGGGAAGATGTACATGTCAAGTATGTTGCAGCACTGGCAGATGTTTGGTACATATCCCATGGGAGGATTTAACTGGTAGGTAGGAAACACTTCCAGGAACTAACACCTCCACTATCAGGTTTATTACGTGCACAGCTGATAACTGATAATGAGTTTTACCAATAAACCCCCCTCCTTCTTTTTGATACGTAAGTTGAAGATGTTACAAAAAAAAGTGTTTGCAAATCTGAAAAACAATAATAGCAATAAAATACTAGGAGAGATCTGATTAATGCATTAATGCCTCAACATTTCAGTTGATGCCATGTTGACTCTTAATGGGAGATGAGACCATTGAACTTACAACAGCTGTTTGGATGGTAGATTGTATTGTGCTAGTAGATGTACCAGCATGAACAATCAGCAGCCTTGTGCTTAGTAGAAAGTGAGTGAGTGAGTGAGTGAGTGAGTGAGTGAGTGAGTGAGTGAGTGAGTGAGTGAGTGAGTGAGTGAGTGAGTGAGTTTGGTTTAACGCCGCTTTTAACAGTATTCTAGTTATATCACGGCGTGTCAGCTTAATGTGGGAGAAAAGCCTGAAGTGACGCTGGTCTCAGATGTTTATCACTTCGGTGAAACCCACGAGCACAGGTGTGGTGCTGACAAACCTAGAAACATAATCGGGGCGAACAGGGATTCGAACCCACAATCACAGGTTTCTGGCGTGCCCAAGGGACGCAACTCTGTACAGCAAATCATGGCACCTTAGGCGACTGGGCCACCCAAGCCCCCCCCTTAGTAGAAAGACTCTTAAGAGTTTCCTAAATGTTTTCATGGAAATTCACTTGATCTTATCACATTGCTATATTTGAGAAAGAGACCAGTGATCATGTAAAGGAGTTAGTGGAAAGTATATCCCAGCAGAGAGAATAAAACATCCTCAATTACTCAGTGTATTGTTGTCCTTTGTATTACAACCAATCCCTTGGACCCATCCACCACCATTACTTAGCACAGACTTTCGCTTGCTTACAAGCTTGAATGAAGAACCAATCAAAATGCCTCTTCTGAAAGTTTTGTTTGTTTGTTTGTTGTTTAAATCCACACTCAGCAATATTCAAGCTTAATTGAGTCTGAACCAGACAATCCTATGATTGACATTAAGACCATCGATCCACTCAACCAAGCAAAAGTCGCTTTTTACGGCAAGCATGGGTTGCTGAAAACCTATTCTTCCCCGGATGTTCACAGGTCCTTCTGAAAGTGAATTCTGCATACATCTACATGCAGCCACGTCCCAGCAAGTCTTTAAACGAATCACAAGACTTATAACAAATTTACCTGGATAATGTGTTTTCTGGGGTATACTAAGATGGAGGGGGGGGGGGGAGAGAAAGAGTACAACAAAACTGTCTAATAATATTTGTGATGGAATGCAAAATTCTGGTAATATCGATGCTTGTTTAAATTGAACAGTGTAATTTGGCTGGACATCTATATTTAGTATCGTGGCATTCAAACAGGCCACAAAACCAAGCTACGGTGGCTAATGAGTCCAAGATATTTGTCATAATAGAATGGAGGAATGATACAGCAGGAAACGGAGGATGATAGACAAGGTGAAGCATGCCAACCTCTTGGTGATACCAGAATACAGTTTACAACAATTGATGTAATTAGCAATCCAGCAGTGGATGAGATCCCTATGAGACAGTTAATGGGATACCATCCCAGGATTGGGAGAAGTGAGTGAACTATGTTCAGCATGTTCAGGTATTGTTAAATTCAGCATGTTCAGGTACGGGTATTGTAGTATCACCAAGAGGTTTTCATTTGTTTCATCTTGTCTATCATACTCAATTTTCAACTTTATAATTCACCTCTAGTAAAATATATCCGGGACAAATTCACAACATATAGCTTCGTTCTGATTCCGGCCGACATTGCTAAATACAGATGTCCAATCAAATTTCCCTGTTTGTTTCAGTGAAACATGCACCAATATCACTCCTGTATTCGCTTTGCTTTGTCGCATCCTGTCTCAGATACAACCGGCAATGCTAATACCATGAGGACTTCCCTTACTCCCTCTTGATCATGTTAATAAACAGGATCTTCTTTTCCAGTTTAGATGTATCACTGGCTCGCTTGTACAAGGCCAAACTCTTCTTCAGAACTCAGAAGTGTCTTTTTATTGGGTGTTAATTTCAAACTCATGAGTGAGAAAATTCTGTGCTTAACTAGTGATAAGAGAGATGAGACTGTGACATCACTTTTGAAATGAAGCTTTAGTGGTGAATGGATCCATCAACCAATTCCCTAAGCCTGACCACCCGATGCACTTTGGCACCTCTTATGACATGGTGATCTATCATGGAATCCCACAGGGCCATAATACACTGGATAATGGAGGCTGCATGTGCAGACCATTGAGACTTGTTTATTCATATCCATCCAACATTATTCGGAATCCTTATCCCATACTTACTTTGAATATGTTACAGCTTACCATTATTCCTGCTAGAATGCCTGCACCAAAGCAGTTGGTTTTACTCAAGTAAATTACATTGGTATCTTGGATGTTGTCCGTCAATGGCACTATAAACACCTCCATTGCCCCTGCAAGAGAAGAAACATATGCTATTATGTTTACATTTATTGCAAATAACAGACTTGAGCTAGACATATCTCCATGGTGATATACAGCACACTGACTGAAACTTTTGACACTAAATTTAAGATATGTACATTCAGGGATGGAACTTTGCAGTAGCACGCCAGGCTGTGTCAGTTTAAGCTAATGTCAAAGGCGTCTTAACTGCCAGGGCCCCGTTCCACAAAACGATCTCAGAGCTACGATTGTTGCAAGTCTATATTAAAGTATGCGAGCTATGATTGTCTTTGGGCTAAGATCGCTTCGTGGAACAAGACCCAGCATAATTTCAGGTGTTTTTATGAGGGTCCTTATATGTAATCACGACTTGGGCAACTAAAAGCTTCAGGTGGAGCAGCATCCTGACGTTGGCCTGAAAATAATTGTGTCTTGACAAGACAAGTGATTGATAGTGTGAGCAACGTCCCACACCGTTGTGGTTACTGCTATTATGACATGCATCAACCAAGTCACTGAGCCTGACCACGCGATCCTTTTGAGTGGCTGTTATGGCCAGGATAGGTTGCTGTGGACCTATTCTAAACTTGAATCTCTATTGGTGACATGTAAGGTAAGAGTACAGTTGCACTGAATGTGTTATGGCCTTGAATTGCTTTGAGAGTATTTGTATGAAAGCACGCTGTAGCTTGTGTACTCACTAAAACCAGACACATCACACCCAGAGACTGGCAAGAGTGATGTGCTTGTGATACAGGCTTATCAGAAGCTGTCAGTACACATGTCCAACAGGTTAATAGTGATAAGCGAAGACTTTGTCAACTGAGCATGTCCATGGTTAGTGGTGAACACGGGACAGGGGTCACTGTGACACTGTATGTGTCCTCTATACTGCCAGTATATGGGGGTCACTGTGACACTGCATGCATCCACTATACTGCCAGTATACAGGGGACACTGTGACACTGTATGTGTCCACTATACTCCAGTATACAGGGGTCACTGTGACACTGTATGCATCCACTATACTGCTGGTATACAGGGATCATTGTGACACTGCATGCTTCCACTATACTGCCAGTATACAGGGGTCGCTGTGACACTGCATGCTTCCACTATACTGCCAGTATACAGGGGTCACTGTGACACTGCATGCATCCACTATACTGCCAGTATACAGGGGTCACTGTGACACTGTATGTGTCCACTATACTGCCAGTATACAGGGATCACTGTGACACTGCATGCATCCACTATACTGCCAGTATACAGGGGTCGCTGTGACACTGCATGCTTCCACTATACTGCCAGTATACAGGGGTCGCTGTGACACTGCATGCTTCCACTATACTGCCAGTATACAGGGGTCACTGTGACACTGCATGCATCCACTATACTGCCAGTATACAGGGGTCACTGTGACACTGTATGTGTCCACTATACTGCCAGTATACAGGGATCACTGTGACTCTGCATGCATCCACTATACTGCCAGTATACAGGGGTCACTGTGACGCTGTATGTGTCCACTATACTGCCAGTATACAGGGGTCACTGTGACACTGCATGCATCCACTATACTGCCAGTATACAGGGGTCACTGTGACACTGTATGTGTCCACTATACTGCCAGTATACAGGGGTCACTGTGACACTGCATGCATCCACTATACTGCCGATATACAGGGGTCACTGTGACACTGTATGCATCCACTATACTGCCGGTATACAGAGGTCACTGTGACACTGCATGCATCCACTATACTGCCAGTATACAGGGGTCACTGTGACACTGTATGCATCCACTATACTGCCAGTATACAGGGGTCACAGTGACACTGTATGCATCCACTATACTGCCAGTATACAGGGATCATTGTGACACTGTATGCATCCACTATACTGCCAGTATACAGGGATCACTGTGACACTGTATGCATCCACTATACTGCTGGTATACAGGGATCATTGTGACACTGCATGCTTCCACTATACTGCCAGTATACAGGGGTCGCTGTGACACTGCATGCTTCCACTATACTGCCAGTATACAGGGGTCACTGTGACACTGCATGCATCCACTATACTGCCAGTATACAGGGGTCACTGTGACACTGTATGTGTCCACTATACTGCCAGTATACAGGGATCACTGTGACACTGCATGCATCCACTATACTGCCAGTATACAGGGGTCGCTGTGACACTGCATGCTTCCACTATACTGCCAGTATACAGGGGTCGCTGTGACACTGCATGCTTCCACTATACTGCCAGTATACAGGGGTCACTGTGACACTGCATGCATCCACTATACTGCCAGTATACAGGGGTCACTGTGACACTGTATGTGTCCACTATACTGCCAGTATACAGGGATCACTGTGACACTGCATGCTTCCACTATACTGCCAGTATACAGGGGTCGCTGTGACACTGCATGCTTCCACTATACTGCCAGTATACAGGGGTCACTGTGACACTGCATGCATCCACTATACTGCCAGTATACAGGGGTCACTGTGACACTGTATGTGTCCACTATACTGCCAGTATACAGGGATCACTGTGACACTGCATGCATCCACTATACTGCCAGTATACAGGGGTCGCTGTGACACTGCATGCTTCCACTATACTGCCAGTATACAGGGGTCGCTGTGACACTGCATGCTTCCACTATACTGCCAGTATACAGGGGTCACTGTGACACTGCATGCATCCACTATACTGCCAGTATACAGGGGTCACTGTGACACTGTATGTGTCCACTATACTGCCAGTATACAGGGATCACTGTGACACTGCATGCATCCACTATACTGCCAGTATACAGGGGTCACTGTGACGCTGTATGTGTCCACTATACTGCCAGTATACAGGGGTCACTGTGACACTGCATGCATCCACTATACTGCCAGTATACAGGGGTCACTGTGACACTGTATGTGTCCACTATACTGCCAGTATACAGGGGTCACTGTGACACTGCATGCATCCACTATACTGCCGATATACAGGGGTCACTGTGACACTGTATGCATCCACTATACTGCCGGTATACAGAGGTCACTGTGACACTGCATGCATCCACTATACTGCCAGTATACAGGGGTCACTGTGACACTGTATGCATCCACTATACTGCCAGTATACAGGGGTCACAGTGACACTGTATGCATCCACTATACTGCCAGTATACAGGGATCATTGTGACACTGTATGCATCCACTATACTGCCAGTATACAAGGATCACTGTGACACTGTATGCATCCACTATACTGCCAGTATACAGGGATCACTGTGACACTGTATGCATCCACTATACTGCCAGTATACAGGGGTCACTGTGACACTGTATGCATCCACTATACTGCCAGTATACAGGGATCACTGTGACACTGCATGCATCCACTATACTGCCAGTATACAGGGGTCACTGTGACACTGCATGCATCCACTATACTGCCAGTATACAGAGGTCACTGTGACACTGTATGCATCCACTATACTGCCGGTATACAGAGGTCACTGTGACACTGCATGCATCCACTATACTGCCGCAATACAGGGGTCACTGTGACACTGTATGTGTCCACTATACTCCAGTATACAGGGGTCGCTGTGACACTGTATGCATCCACTATACTGCCGGTATACAGGGGACACTGTGACACTGCATGCATCCACTATACTGCCAGTATACAGGTCACTGTGACACTGTATGCATCCACTATACTGCCAGTATACAGGGGTCACTGTGACACTGCATGCATCCACTATACTGCCAGTATACAGGGGTCACTGTGACACTGTATGCATCCACTATACTGCCAGTATACAGAGGTCACTGTGACACTGTATGCATCCACTATACTGCCAGTATACAGGGGTCACTGTGACACTGTATGCATCCACTATACTGCCGGTATACAGAGGTCACTGTGACACTGCATGCATCCACTATACTGCCAGTATACAGAGGTCACTGTGACACTGCATGCATCCACTATACTGCCGCAATACAGGGGTCACTGTGACACTGTATGTGTCCACTATACTCCAGTATACAGGGGTCGCTGTGACACTGCATGCATCCACTATACTGCCAGTATACAGGGGTCACTGTGACACTGCATGCATCCACTATACTGCTGGTATACAGGGGTCACTGTGACACTGTATGTGTCCACTATACTCCAGTATACAGGGGTCGCTGTGACACTGCATGCATCCACTATACTGCCAGTATACAGGGGTCACTGTGACACTGTATGCATCCACTATACTGCCAGTATACAGGGGTCACTGTGACACTGCATGCATCCACTATACTGCCAGTATACAGGGGTCACTGTGACACTGTATGTGTCCACTATACTGCCAGTATACAGAGGTCACTGTGACACTGTATGCATCCACTATACTGCCAGTATACAGAGGTCACTGTGACACTGCATGCATGCACAAGCAACTGTATCTTATTTCAGGTGTCAAGTTTCAGCTATTTAGTATGACACCCACTGGGGTCATGTGCATGACTCTTGATGGTGCCTGGACTGGCATATCATCACACCATGACCTCTGCTTGGCCAGTACATGACACTTAATCATTTCCGTTTCACTTGGGCTGATGATGGCACACTACATCAGTGTCAGCCCATTGGACAGGGCGCAGTATCAGTTGACCTACATCATGCGTATGTAGTGATGAATATTGCTTGTAGAAATTGTATTGTAGAATGTATGGTCACATTCTTGAGATTAATAGTCACATAAATATCTAATATATCGCTGTCTATATATTAAGCATGTTAAAGCCCCCTAATTCTATGTA